GCTGTTTCATTTGTCAGTAAAGCCTTATTTACTTGCTTCCTGTTATTAATTATGGGAAACAGGATCTCTTCAAACTGTAGGAGAGGCTCTTTTAACTCCTGTCTGGACTTTTCAAGACAAAATATTGATGAGCCCTTTAATGTTTGTGCAGTGACACAATCTGAGCAAAAAAACCCCCATCGTTACCTCAAACAGCTTAAGGCTCCTTATCACACGTTCACAAAAAAAAAAATCCTTTAAATCACTCGGGCTCACATCCTTATTGTTAGTCACTGAAGTAAGGTTTCCTTTCATAGTTGGATACTTTCTTCATCTGTCACACTGATTAATTAACAGCTCACAGTATGAGCCCTGAGCTTAAATAGCCTACTGAAACGAGGAGGAGAGATCAACTTTAATATTCCATAAAAAGCTGAAGAGGAAAAATGCTTTCCTTTCTATGAAGGGATCTGTCTTCTAATAATAAAAAATTAACTAATTTCTGTTCAGTTACATTACATGAGGAGATGAAAGCACCCAGCTTGTGAAGGAAGATTGCAGGAAAGGATTAGGACAGAAGTTGGAGAAGACTTAAGCATTTTAAATTAAACTGTTGGTTGGTCAGAAATAACCAAGTCTTGAACACCAGCAAAATTATTTTCATCATCATTAAGAAAAGCCAGTTTATCAACTCATAATGAGCAAATCTATAAAAACACAGTACCATTGCCTGTAAAGATCTATGGGGAAAAGGCATGCAATTACATGAAATGGAGAGCTGCTAAAACCTTAAAGCTAAAGCTGGTTTTAGCCAAAGTATTTGTTGTTCTCTTACACACACCTCTTTCCCAAACTGTTACAGTCTGGCAATTATTTCAGGAGTTTGACTTTCAACAACTGCAAGTTCTCCCCCCTTTTTTAAGCCCCTCCAGTACTGCTGAGTGGGCAAAAATTACAGATGCAAGAAAAGCTGACAAATGAGTGCAAGGCCCCTCCTCTCCAGTGCCTCGACAGTCAGAGCCCCTGCCAAAACATGCCTGAAAGCTAGTGAGGAGACAAAGACACAAAGATTCCATTTTTTCAGGGAAAGTAGATTTCATGTAGAAACTGCTAGGGAGAAGAATAGCACACAGGCACACATGTAATCTCAAAAGCAGAGCAGGAATGAATGTTTCAAGAAAAAGGGAAATTATATATGCTTATTGAGTAAGCTCAACAAATGCTATTTGAGGCACGGCTCTTTTTAAACTAAGTGCTACAGGGGGTAGGAGAGGGAAAGCTCCCATCAAGTCAGAAAAAACATTTTCAGTCATGGAGAACCTTCAGTTTAACACAATTCAAAGTAAGAGTTCACCGCTGTTGCTCTAAATGATCTGATAATGCTGTAGTACACAACCAAAACAAAGTAAATCCAGCTTTTCAGCTCAAATCTGTTCAACTATGTTTACTACTAAAAGATGCTTCACCCAGGGTGCTGTTAATAAAGATGTAATGAGTTTAAAAGCCTGGCATGTAGGCACATCCAAGTTTTCGAGCTTTTCATAACAAGTTTACTACTTTCATGAGTGGCATTCCTCACTGAGCTGGAACAGGTCTGCCTCTGAGCAGGAGAGCGAGGTGAATGCAGTCAAGCAGAGCAGGAGAAAAAGCAACAATAGGATTTCTTCTTGAAACTCGTCAAAATTGGGGGAAAGTCCAATTTATGGTGAGGAAGATTCGGGACAACTCAAGATTGTCACTAATTTAAAAATAAGAAAGGACATTCACAACAGCATATAAGATTAAATATTATTTAAAATGTGATTCCAGTCCTTCAGGACTCAGTGGCAAAAGAGGCTAGTGTTAAAAATAACACAACCTCCCACCAGATGGGCAGTTTAGGAAGTAGAAGTGTAAATTGGAGTTTTTAGTCATCAGAAAGGTTTTCAAAATGGTCCCAGCTCTGATAATTAGTGCTCATCATCATGTAGCCTTCTTACAAACTCTCCATTTGTAATATACTTTGGCTTATGGGAGGCTGCTTCTACAGAGGCACTCAAATTCAGCCAAAGTCTTCCGAAGTCTTGCAGCAGAACATTAATGCAGTATAAACAGAACATAGAAAATGATATATAATAAACATTCTAGAAATGTGAATAATGCCCTGAATCGACAGGTTTGTGACTGAGGATAAACAACTGCTGAGAGCACTCTAAAAAGCCCCTCAAGGGCCCTTTGCCTTGCAGGAAGAGCCATGGGCAGAGAGCTCAGCTCTCTGCTGGGTTCACCCTCATGTTGCCCTTCCTTCAGCCCATGAGGATGTGGCACATTTCTGACTCTGAACCCAGGTGCTGCCTCTCTTCCCCTTCTGTCTGCTCATGAAGACTGCTCTGCCAAAAGACTTAAGAAAGAAAGGGCTGGTAATCCTTTGACTAACTAATGAATCCCCTTCAGAATATCAACACTGATTGTTACAAAAGGATTTGGGATAGTCCAGAACTATTTATTAAAAAAAACTCAAACCAAAACCCAGCCCTATTCTCCACATTATACCTGAGGTGAAGTACCAGCAACATCAGAAAACTTGAACACTGCCCATTTTAGTTACAAATCCACTTTTTTTTTCATAAAATTTCTTTACATTCCTTTGGTTGATCCCACTATCCTCTCACTTGGTAAGTCTAGGCATATTCTATCACTTCATAGCCAGTTAGTATCTAAATTATTTTGGGGTTTTTTTATGCATTTTACCATCCAACCATCACTCAGCCCCTCCTAAATGCACAGCTGTGTCCATTTAGTCTCCGTTCTCAACCAGACCAAACCACCATTTTCATTTTGTTACTACAGAGAGATCCTAGATGTTGTCTTACTGCAGAGATGAAAAATAAGTCTGCATCTCCAAGTCAGATACACCTACTGCCACTTTCCCCTCACTTCAAATTCTCACAAACTGTATCCCAAACTCTTCTTCTACCCCATCCACCCTGAAAGTAGAACTGCTGTCCTTGTACACATAAATCAAGAATAATATGACTGCCTGATTTCCAGGAATATTCCAAGATAAAAAGAGATTTAGTTCTGAGGTCAGATTCTAGAAATGCTGAGAGAAGAGCTATATGAAAAAAAAAAAAAGGACTGCAGTTAATGACTTAGGTAACAGAAACAGCAGAGAATGAAATAAGATTTACAAACAGCTACAAACATGCTTTATCTTATACAGCTGGTAAACTCATTCTTCAGAGTATCATTACAAAGTAATCTTCACAAAGAAAACTCAGATTATAGAAAGAGCGCAGCAGTGAAAAATATTATCGCTTGATTTCACACATGTTCTGTCACTCACCTAACACTATTTCTATCTAAATACTTTTAAAGATGACTTGAAAAACAAATGTTAACATTATTTCAACCTATAGAAGCTGCTGAAAGTCAACATGAAATCTTGCATCTGTGTCTAATGTCTGTCGCTGCCACAGAGCTCATTTTAATGGCCTCACGTCCAGGCAGTGTGTGGCACTGGGCTTGAAAAGGAAGGAGACTTATGTTTTCCTTGGCACTGGTACAGCATAGGTCCTTAGCATGAAATTTATTAGCATTAATGGGCATTGTGTAATTAAAGCACTGTGCTTTAATGCCCTGAGGGGTGATGGGGCTTTTTCATGTCCTATAAAATAGACAAATAAAAAATGTGAGACTTTTTAAAGCTATTCAAAGAATTCAAATGTGCATGTCCCCCCATTAACCATAATAGAGGAGGCGTAGCTGAACAAGATGGATCCGAAATTCTCAAAATGTCTTCCATGAAACCACAAGATGGTTAATACTAGACACCAGGTTTTTTGAGAACATGCTATGTAATTACAGTATTTTGCAAGGCCACAAGTTCTTCAAAAAGTAACCATTAGACCACTAAAAAGTATAGATTTGAAAAAAAATATTTTTAGATCTAATATACTGTACTTAGTACTAAACCTGTTTAAAGGAGTCCAATTTAATAAAGTGGCTTTGAGAAGCAACTCAGATATTTGTTACTTGAGCCCTGGCATTTTCTTTCCTGAATGCCAAGAATTTAGAAGGCTTTGAGAATCCCATCACCTAACCTACTGCACTTCAGTGACGGGGGAAGCATTTATGTAGTTCCTCATGTGCTTTTGAATACCACAGGCTGAGATTGGAATAATATTCAGAGCTACTAAAAAACTGCAGGAGTGGTGCCGGTTTCATTAGGATTGATGCATGTTAGCAGTAAAGATCAGACTGTTACCTAGACCTGCATTTCAGTAGTTAAGCAGGATTAATTTTCTGTAAGAGATAAAAACCAACATACACAGGTCTAGTATTTGATTTTTCAGAAACTGATCTTGCCAACACTTATCTGTAGTACTGCAAAATAATCTTGGGGCTCATTTTCTGGCAATTTTTTATTGTATCATATGATCCTACATAAACAGCAAGTCCAAACAGCATGGAAAAAACACCACTGATGTAACATTTTAGGATGCTTAAACTATTGAAAAATATAAGGACTAATGACAGTATTGTGTCACGTCTCAATATTCTGAATAATCTAATTGCACTTAGAGCTGGCTCGAAGTAAAACTTATTTTATCTGAAGAAAAAGTTAGTATAGATTCTACAAAACCACTAAGACCTTTACAGTGACACTAGCAATTTTTCCTAGGGGAATGTCAAGATCAATTATTGGCTGATCTATTGGACATATCCTGAGGTATCAAACAAAATTCTTTATTTCTTTACCTTCTAGACAAATCACCACAGAGCAGCAATGAAGAGAGCTGAGGGCAATTTGACCAGCATCATCTGTGTCGGTTCCCCAGAAGTCGATGAAACACGTGATGGGGTCTCCAAGGTACATCCCAGACCCAAGCTGCTGTGCCATTCAATTAGTAAATTATTAAAACAAGATGCTTTCTTCGATTACATTAAGATACTGGCAGCAGGGAGGGCTATTACCTTCCATCGAGGAGCCTGTCTTCCCAAATTATGCTGTTTATTAACATGTCATTAACAATGCGCCACCTCAGCCAAAATGATCAGTGGTCTCAGGTACAAAGTAAAGATCATTACAGAACAACACCACCTGCCTCATTTGAGCAAATCAAGTAAGTACATCTGAATCACTGACTGCACAAAAATATTCAAATGCTAGTTTTCATCCTCAGCTTTGTGCCTTTTTTGCCGAGCCCATAAGCCTTCTTCTGAGGAATCAAGAGAACCTTGAAGAGATAGAGTTAAACAGAGAAGTTCTTGAAACTAAACCATTTTCTTTTCAAAAGAACAGGACCCCAGGTAAATGATGCCTTTTAATACAGCACATGAAAATTTCAATTATGGAAATCATTATTCTAGGCATTATGTGCCATTTTATATTCCCAGCAGGATGTTTTTCATCTCATCAAGAGTTTCCAAGTCTGTTTAGTGCTCCTGTATATGCAAAACACATTTAAGGGCCCCCAAGAAGATCTGTTAATTAAAAAGCCTAGTCAAGTGGTCAGACAGATTGGAACTTGAGGATTATAGGTAAGAGGGATGAAATGAAGGCTTGGAAATTATAATTTCTCTTTCTGTGGTAGCAGCCAAAGCAGCTGTTATAAACTGGGCAAATTAAAGATTTGGCTGACTAAGCCAGCAGTCTGGAAACAAGACATTGCAAAAACATAACAGCAAGTCATTTGCACCCCACTTTTAAAAAACCAAAAGTGCTGACCATTTGTTTTTTACTCTCTTCCTGTTATTCTGATCTGTCACAAATGTCCTCCAGCTGGTACCCTTCCAGCCCTTGTTCACCAGTTCTAGTTTCCCACCCCCATCTTAGGGAGTTAGTAGTAATTCCCAGGACTGTGGACAAGTGCTCCATAGTGGGAGTAGTCAGCAAACAGAAATGGACATGTTTAACAGAAGAGCAGGTGAAATAACAGAGTTGAAGTTCTATTCTTTGTTTTTATACGAACAACTCTCATATGAAAAAAAAGTCTTCTCATACTGAACAATATTGATCATTCCTTGAGAGCCGTTTCATCTGCCCAGTACAGTCAGCATCTAGCTACAGAAAGGTCTCCATTTAGAAGAGCCAGGTTGCCACCACACTTTCCAGATACATTTAATAAATGTCTTGTAATTGACTATTTTCAGGGGGAAAACCTCCTAACAATCCAACCTTTTTTCTTTCTACATTTTCTGGTCTGTTTTCACAAATAGTCTTAAAAGGGCTAAAAATAGTTTTTGCCATGAGCTAATGAGGCTATGCATGTTTTTTCCATATCAGAAAGTGGTGAAGGATCTATAAATAAGTTACTTAAAGACCCCAAAAACCATCCCAGAACAACCCTTTTTCTTTTCTCAACAGCAGATATGACTTCCTTTTAGAAGCAGAATAAACATTAGTTGCTTTGTTTAGACAGCTTTTAGGTCAGTGTTACTAAGCTAGAATTTGTCTCAATTTATATTAACATAAACCTGTGGCTATTTTTGATCTCATTTTATACATCATGAATGAATACCTCCCAATCTATTTCCTCTATGTTTATTTGTATTCAAGACAAACTCATCATTTCAGATGTGTGGTGGATGAATTTTTAAGTGTTGCCATCTCAGTACTACACTAATGATGCTGTTAATAATATTGCTACATTGAAACGTTGCATCTGATTTAAAGCACACTCAAGCCCTTTGCAAACAATTATTCATTAAATACATTTGAAAACTGTTTATGAGATTCATACCATAAATCTTTAACAGACACAAAATTGATACAGGCAAGCTGAGCACTCCATTTTTTATCAGCAATTAGTTTTAGGTGGCATGGGGCCTTTGTCTGATGCTTTTACCTGAAACAAATCAATTGCCATTTTGCATTTTCATACAAGTCTAAGAGCATGAGAAAACAGAAGAAGAATTCTAAAGGTTAAACCCCATATTCAGTACAGTCTCTCCCCCGCCCCTCTGTTATAGTGGGTATTTGAGGAGGTTCTTTACATCTCCTCCCACACAGTTTCTCTGCTTCATAAGCAGAAAGCAGCTGCTGGTTCTTTCAAGTCTAGCGGTTAGTTGACATTTACCAGTAGTTTATGGTTTCATTCTACCTTAGCAAGGAAAAGAGCTAGAATATCAGCTTTAAAGAGTGAATACTAAATCTTTCTATTTTAATCCCCTCCCCACCCCAAACTGGAGGTGCCTGCAGCCAAGATTTTTGGTGGGACTTAAGGAAGGGGCAAAAACAATCTGTGAACCAGCACAGAGAATAGGACCAATGGGTCCTGGCTTTACTGTAAAATTCTTTCCCCTGGAAAACACCTCAACGCAACTCTTGACCAGTAGTGCTGATTTAATTTCCCTCTCTATCCCCCTTCCTAAAAAACTGCTGTGCACAATGTTGGTTACTTGACAAACAATATATGACTTGACAAACTTGGCAGCATTATTTAGAAACTGCCATAAAAAGAAAGAAAAATATTGCATTTATACGTAGGATATGATGGTAGAGATGGGAGTAATGAGAAAGGTCTAGGGTACACCACAGAAAACACTATTTTCCATAGGAGGGAGATAAAACCCAGATGAAACATACAAAGAAAGATGTTATGTCCTGCAAACATTGCCTAGCACACTCACGTGAAAGGTTACCCCCCCACAGTTTAACTCCCCCCTCCAGGCACAAGCACACAGGCTGTGACACAGTCCTGATATGTCTGACTTTGCTCTCAGAAAAATGCACTGATATGGCTTTGTTTAAGGTTTGTCTTTCTGAAATTTGTCCTGAAAATAATGAAAACTATCATTTGTTAAATAAATGAAATTAATATATCAAAATACAGATGAAAAATAGTACTGTCCTGGCCACTGTTTCAACAGTGGACGGCTCTTGCTAAAATAATTTTCAGATTTCCAGGTTTTTGAACTCATAATAAACAAAATTTAGCCAGAGATGGCTCTCTTTTAGGGCAGGTTTATACACAGGGTAATCAGGAAAACAGAGGTGATCTGATAAACAAAATTCCCCCCAAATCAGAAGGTTAAAAATGCCATAACTGTAGTTGTTAACAACCTGCTAAAACCCCCAGTAAACCTAAACTCAGAAGTCACTTAGCTGGTAAGACTGTGTTCATTTCATGGACTTTTTCAGAGCAGAAATACAGAGTACAAAAACCTTTTATCTGATAATATTTACTAACAAAGAATTTTAAAGAGGTAACATTAACAGGATTGCTGTCGATGCAAAAAGGAACTTGGAACATGCAATTACTGGATGGCTCCAAACTTTACCTAACGCGTTTAAAGCCACAAAAGTAAACTATCCCAGACAGCTCAGCACACAGACAGTGCAAGAAAATGCCATACTGTTTTTTCCAGGTATAGGTCAGGACATTTTAAGACATCTATGATTGAACTGGGTCTCTTCTTCCTAAATCAAGGCTTCCATGACCGAACATTATAGAGGCAGTTATAAAAGCCATACTGGCTCCCAACATCTGCAGGAACTCAGTAGTGCAGCAGTTTGCTGCACACATGTTAAACAGGCAGCACTAAAAACTATAAAAACAGGTCAAAGCAAAATGAAAAAGTACTTGAAATGAAGAATTTCACATCAATAACAGGAAGAAAACATGGAGACAACCTTTTCTGCAGGTCAGCAAGCTAAAAGCAGTAAGGGAAAAAGCAGTTTGCAGCAATCCACACACAATAGGTCTTGAGCATTACTTCTTTTTATTATGTATTGCACCTACAGGGCACTAGATTTTTCTAAACAGCAACCAAAGCATACTTTCAAGTCCATCCAACAAACATCTGAACGAACGACATCGCAGACTGAAATATTTCAAAGAGATCAAACATACACCAATGGTTACCTCTTGTTCCCTTGAATTAAAAGTGAAGAGCAGCTTATCTGGAAAGCAGAAGCTAATTTTACAATATCTTTTCTAAAGAATAATGGAGAAAAGCACCAATCTTTAGGCAAGGTGGGAAATCAGCTGGAGATGGACTGCAGTGTCTGTTTCTTTTTGCAAAATAGTGATTCAGAAGCACATTCAAAACCACATTTAAGTGGTAAACATTAAAACATGAAGTAATGAAAGTGAGGATCAAGGGAGCATGATCCAAGGATCACCTTTCTTCCCCCACTGATAGAAGCTTTAGAGAAAATCAGATCTATCTGTATTCGAGTACATTCAAAAAACGATCTGGAGTATCTTAGCACACATGCTTTTAGACAGATATTTGACTGATTTCAATTAGCATTTGTACTTCAAAAGAGATGATGTAAGTCAGAGCAGCTAAGATTTTTTTCATGTTTCTGTATGAATGGAAAAGAGATCTAGACACATCAGACTGACACAGACACATCAGACACATCTTCCAAAGAGAGTCACTGTGGCTTTATGAAGAGGGTTTTTTTCCCCCTCAAACTTGTTTACTTCTGTTTGGTTTTGAATTTTTTAAAGAAGCTCTCACATTTTAAACATTAGCTCTAGTTTTCCACTAAAAGTAAAATAAGTACACCTACAAGTGCACAGACAGCAAGGTGTTTCTTTGCAATACTCAGTAGAATCAACACAAGAATTTTCCATGGCTCCAGAGCTCTTCAGCCACAGCATCCTCCTTACATACAGTTGCTTCAATTTCATTAGTGAGAGCAAACTATAGCCTTATTATACTTTTCTCATTCCTGGACAACATGAACAATGGATCTATGCATTACTGTTAAGACTGATCAGAAAATATCATTCCTTTCTCAGAGTGATAAAAAGATTTTTGAAATTTTATTATTAGACTAAAGGGAAGTATGTCTAAGTTATTTTAATTTTCTTTTGGGAAAAGGAGCTTTTCGTAAAAGAAAGAGGAGAAAACTTAGGCAGCATGATCACTTTCCAGATAGATAATCTGATCATCAAGACTTGCACAGAAAATATCAGAAACCCAAGCCCTTCTCCAAAGACAGCAGAGCTCTGACATTCTGGATGCACACCAAAACACCAGGCCATCAACCCTTCTAGGGCAGCAAGGGGGCTTTTTTTCCTTTTCTCACACAAAAGGCCTTCCCAGAAAAATTTCCATTAAAATATGTATTTCATCAAAACCTCCTGCATTTTCCCCACAGAGGAAAAAAAATATTCAGTTTTCAACCAGATGTAGTTACAGTTTTGCATAGAACTGCAATTGCAGGGAAAAACTAACAGAATGAGAAAAACAAAAAAACTTCTATAAAGTTCTGGTAATACTTTTAATCATATTACAAGCTTAATGCATTACATTAATTTTTTAAATTAACACAGTTGGACTTTAGATCAAACAGAGAAGGAAAAAAAAGATTTCTATCCAACAAAAGCATATTATAAAAACACTGCTGCTCAAAACAGGTCAAGTATTTTCTTGTGCCTGTAGACTAACAAATGGGATTTTCCATAAGGTAGTCATTAGGTGTTTTGTCTTTATTTTTGTTACTTTTTAAAATGGTAATATATAATTTCTACCCCTCTATTTAATACACTCTAATCTGTATTCCTGGAAATAGCAATTTTCTTAAGACATTTCTTTTGCCATTAGTTGTGATAGGATTGCTTTCTCTCATGTTTGCATTTTGCAGACCACAAGACTCAGAAGATCACTGTGGAAGAAAGACACTGGGCCAACCCTTTCTGTTGATATGACAAAGTCCAGCCCAGTTTGGTGTTCCTTCCACCCTGAAGGAGTCTCACATCAGGTAGTAGAAGCTAACTTATTTCTTTGCTGTTGAATGACTACCCATTTTTTCCCCAGCCTTCCTCATTAGGCAAAATTAACATTTGAATATTCTGGAGAGCCTTTAAATTGCTGCTGTCCAAGGGCCACAATAAGATGTGGGAATTCCCCCCAGTGTGGGGGAAGAAGGGGGCTGGTTCTGCAGACCCCCACACCTTCCCTTTCTCACAGAGCCGAGTCCATTAGAACTGGCAGGGCATGCAGAGCACAGGAGAGAGGGCTAATTGAGTTTAAAAGCTGTGTAGCTGCAGTCTCATTTAGGAAATGCCTCCAGGCCTGCTCAAGAGTTTAGTAATAAACCTAGACCACAAAGCAAACTGAATGTTCAACTCTACATGCCCAGAAGGGAGAGAAGATCCTTTTCTCCACACTCCTAAGCTCATGTTGTTAGCCCCTCCAATCTTTCTCCCACAAAGTAGGATTCCAGGAATCATCACCATTTTTCTTATCCTGAAGGCAGAGCTGCATACTGTTAACAGTTTCTATAATCTTGATTACAAATTTCTATTACAATAAAACATCAGTATCATCACATGAAATCAAGAATCTGTCCTGCTAAATTTTGCTAAAAAAAGTCACTTTCAGCCTAAGCCAATTTGGAAAATAGAAATGGCCACGGAGAGTTTCAGAACAGAAAAAAATTCACATTTGATCTTTTCTGTCACAAGTGGCAACTGTAGTTGGTACATGACAAGATTTCTGCCCTAACCAACTGATCACTAAGGCATTTAAATCATCTGTAGAGATGATTTAAAATGGAATAATCCACAACCAGAATATTCACAGTATTTAATGGAGCTATTAAGTATGGAAGGAACCTGGGACCAGCCCCCAACCCAGTCATGAATACATTCAAGAAATTTGAATAGATGCACATTTGACCATAGAAGGACATATTCTGAAATAATACCAAAAATATGGGAACAACCACAACTAAAGGTGTTCTCACATGCTTTGTTTTTACTGACTCCAAGCTTTATTAAGCATTTAGTGTCCTATAAAAACAGCTCCATGAAACAGCAGGAGAAATACGAAAGCTGAACGTCCAGAAACTCTTACATAGATACAAACTGTAATCATGACTAGAGCAAGAACTTGCACAATTAAATTGGAGGGTCTAGAGCCCAAGCTCATTCAGGAGAAACTGAGGGAACTGGGGTTATGAAGTCTGGAGGCTCAGGGGAGAATTTATCACTCTCTATAAGTACCTTACAGGAGGCTGCAGCAGAGCATATCTGAGTATCAAGTGTCCTTTTTCCCCAAGTAACGAGTGATAGGATAAGAGAAAATGGCCTCAAGTTGCACCAGGGGCCATTTAGATTTGATATTAGGAAAAAATTCTCCACCAAAAAGCCTGTCAAGCATTGCAAAAGGGTTCCCAGAGAAGTGATGAAGTCACCATCCCTGGAGGTACTTAAAAGACATGCACACATGGTGCTCTGGGACAAGACTTAAGTATAGACCTGGCAGTGGTAGGTTTGCTGCTGGACACAATGATCTCACATGCCTTTTCCAATGTGAATTATTGAATGAATGACAGGTTCAAATCACTGGCTGTTTTACCATGTACGCTGCTTTAGATAATGGCTAATTCCTTCCTTACATGACACTTAAAATGTCATAATTATATTCTCAAATGCAAGTGGTTCTTGCCATCACCTGGGCCATATGAATGCATTTAAAGACTGAAATCCATAATAGAATTTCCTTCCTAATGTATACACACATTCCTACAGCCACAGTGAAATTATTTCTACAGATACAGCATTATCAGAGAGCCAAATTGTATCCTTGCTGTCCAACAATTACAGCACTGCTCCATAGAGCAAAAACAGGAACATCTGGAATTCTGTTCTTGTGAGGGCAGCTGGGACTGCACTGCTACATCAGGAAATGAACTGTGCTCAGGTTATAAAATATACTTGGGGCTGATCACAGAAAACTAACAACCATCCTGGTATTGAAGAAATTACTTGTGTACAAGGTATAAGGGAAAATTTGTCAAAGTGCATAGTGTGTTTTTCTGACACGGAGAAATTGTGCAGATTCACTCTATATTTAAATCCCATTGAGTGTGAATAGTTCCCTTTCATTTCAGAAATTATTTCGTAAGTAGGAAAACAGTGTGATAACTAAGACTGATTTTACCAAACCTGCCACTAAGGAGAGTTATTTCACTAACTCATACTCTGATCTAACTAAAACCAAGTTTGGGTAAATGTTATCTGGCACTTCTCTCAGGTTCTGCTTTGGTTTCATGTTACTCCTCAGAGTTTGTGCCAAAAAGTGCAAGACAAATTATTAGCTTCACTTCAGACAAAACTGAAAAGTACTGATCTCAGTAGCCAGGAATAGTGGCCTACATAAAATCTTTATTTATTAATATTATTGAGTGTAGTGGTTTGAAGTGACTTGGTTTTTGGTTAAGGGAAAAACCAAGCAGGCTGGGCCAGCACTGAACCCACTACACTGAGAAAGAAATAAACAAAGACATTTGCTTTCAGTTGGCCAATCATACCATTTTGTATTTTATTGACTGTTCTGATCAAGATTCCTTCCGAGATCAAAACATTCATAAGATACCTTCTTTGCACATATTGCACATGAATATTTTGGAAGAACCTGAGTTGTTCTCTGAATGCATAGGTTTTGTAGAAAGCCATTTTGATGATCACAGACTTGAAAGACCCTGTTTCTATACACTTGAGACACACTAGATAAAGAAAATGCCCAATAAATTACTTCTGCTAAGATGCAAAGTTGCTAAATTAATACAAAATTAATAAGAATTAATTATTCTTCTTCAATTCTATTTACCTTCAGTATTAAGTAGATCCATGTCTACTCCATATGCTTTGAATATTATGTATTATTTGTTTTTAAGTGAGAAAAGAAAGGCATACCTAACTACCCACATTCAAATTTGAGACTTGTACTATAAAGAGAAACCACTTTGCTGAAACTCCATACCTATGCCTTTAACAACTTTAAATATTTTGTTTTAGTTCATGGAGTATAAATTGGCTTTAAGTTTTGTTAACACTGCATGAATATTTTGACAAGAGTTCATCCACTTAGCCAAAATTAGAAGCAGCTAAGTATTTACATGGTATAGTACCAGACCTACACACAGTGAACCAGTTTAAAAGGGGGAAAAAAGCCTCAGTGAGATTTTACAAAGACATTCGATCAGGATAAAGAAATAATGCAACTATTGTAACAGTCTCCTGTTAGAAGTGGTGGAGCACTTTAAACAAGTTTTACTTACACAGCATTTCTTCTCCTCCTTTGAAATACGCTCTGAAAAAAGCTTCACAATTAAGATATTGTATACATTTTGCAAGGTTTTCAAAGATCAGGAACTGTTTCTGGAAAGACTCACTCCAATTTGGCAAATAATTAGAGCAAACATTACACCAAGGTGCATTAAATGTTTGACATCTGTGAGGGCACAGAAACATGTGCTTACACACAGTTAAATTCAATAAGAAAAACTAAGTCAGATATAATTTTAAATGGGGGCATGAAAGAAAAAGGAAAAAAGAGAGCAAGGGAAAGGACAAGAAGTTTAAGTGGTAGAAAACATTACAACAGCCAAGTGGAAACAAATGAGATATTATAGCCAGGGTTCAGTCACAGGACTATGTGTAACTCCGTTACAGCTGAGCACCAAGAGCTTCTGGTGAAACTAGTGCTGTGTGTGACTTTAGGAAAAGGATAAAGAAGCATATTCAAAAGACAACGAGCACAAAGAAAACACAGTCACGACTATGGACAATGGTGAATTCTGTACCGAATGTGTGAACAGGACATGAGTGAGGCAAAATAGAACCAGCCCCCCTTTGCCTGGGATTTTTGCAGTGACATAAGCCAAGCAATCTAAACAGAAAATGTCTGTGCTAGGAGAAGAAGACATAAAACACCACAAAAACAAACTGCTTTCCTCATGGAAGAATGGTAACTTTGGACAACATTTGGCATTACAAGTTCAAAGGGTTATTTCATCTGCATTTTAAGTACAGACCCAGAGATTTTACAGTATTCCTGTCTCCACACTATTGTTTTGTGTGCCATTAATGGCATTTAAATTATAGACCTGCTGCAGCCATGTAGTCAAAACACCACATCACCCGATGAGACACTGCATTATAATGTCAGTGTGTCTGTGTTTTAGCTGTGCTTTCATATACTCTACTTCTCTTCAATCACCCTTTTTCTCTGCAAAGGGATAGATACAAGAGACAAGTCTATCTTTAGCTCCACAAAAATTTCTTACTCAGGCAGCTGCAACACTTCATTCATCACATATCCAAGTCTCCTGTTTACAGCAATGAAATTTTTAGAAGTACAAATAGTACAGAGGCAGATTAAAAAAAATCATGGAGAATTTAAAAATACAGGATATGGCTAGGGAGTCAGAAATAATATGCTTCAAAGCAAACTAATTTCTAAACTACATCAGGAGGGATTTTCTCATTTCTTTTGGGTTGTTTTGAGTATTAGGTATTTTTTGTATTTACTTCCAGTGAAGTATTTCATATTTGCTGAAATACTGTTTCCCAGAAGCAAAATACTGTATGTATTGACCTTTACATACAGTTATTCACAATGACAAATATTGATTAAATAACAACTTATTCTTTGACAGAACCTTAAAAGAAAATATATTGACATTTCTAAACAATTGCATGACTAAATCTGAAACACTTCTTTTTCTAACTTATACTAATAAAAAGCTAAACTGGTCATAGCAAGTTACTGAAGAGCTGGGTACCAAATCCAGAATTTTAGCCAGCATTTAAAACTTTTTTCAATCTCAAAAGCTTCAAGCAAGCTATTTCAAGGTCACAAAACTCCTGAGGGGTGTGTGGGGAGACAGCTGCACCTATAAGCTGGCCTGCTGCTTGTAGCCCTCAAATGGGCTATAAGCCCATTGTAGCCATCTACATTGAGATGAAATGT